CTTCAGCTGAATGTTATCACTACGTTTATTAGTAGCACAGTGTGGCGCTCTAGACTCCCTGAAAATGTGATTACTACTTTGTGCTGCCATTTAACCCAAAGGAGTAAGAAAATAAAATGTAAAAGTGGGAAACACAAACATGCAAACGTCTATAGACTGCATTGCACACAAACACATATACACACAAGTAATAACAAAGATAAAACCTAATTCCACTTAGCCTACCTTGTTCTCCAGAGGCCCCATGACCAGCATAATCCTTTCTCTTTTGCTTCGGATTTGATCTTGCAATGCTTATCTTCTTCCGAACAAACATTTCTTTGTTCTTTCTGACAGCTGCAATAAGGTGTGCATCGTCGGCAAAATCCACATATGCCAGGCCCTTCAAAAATCAACTAGAAGATATTATAAATTAGTATGCAACGCTTCCAGACATAGGGCAAGCTGGAATGTGGGTAAATCTGTATGGGACTATGGTTGAGTCTCCTAAGCATATCAGTTGCCATCAAAATGAAAAAATATGCTCTTAGACAGTTAGACTCTTTATACTTAGAAAATTAAACAATTTTACCATAATTATGGAATTCAATACTTAGAAAATTAAGCAATTTTACCATAATTATGGAATTCAACCCTTCTGTAGGTTTATTTGAGACTGCATAAGCATAAGAACTAAATGATTGATTGACAGCATGAAAGGAACAAATCAAATTGAAGTTTCAGTGAGCACCCTTGAGAAATTTGATCAAAGAGAATACACTACATTTAGCAGTTTCAATCTCTCTGAAGCATCAGCCATGCTGATCTCCCAGTCTCATTAAAATTAGTTTCTTAGGGCTAATTTCTGTGGTACAGTCCACATTATGCATACATATGTTGAAGTTTAAAGGTCAGACAATGTTAAATAAGGATTTGACTGTAAGACTAATGTGCACATGCAAGGTCTAGTGGATAGCTTCCCCTTTTTCATTTGAAGCATAAAGCACAAAGAACATTGACAAATAATGAGTGAGAGAAAGAGAGTCATACCCTTGACTTTCCGGTGAACTTGTCTTATAGAATTCGAATAGATTCAACCCCACCAACATTGCAAAAGAATTTTTTCAGATCTTCAGAATTTGTTTGAAAAAAAATTTAAAACCATCATAATTATCTCTTTGTATTTGCCTGTCCAGCGTTAAAAAGGAATAAAAGGCAATCTCTCTCTGAAGTTCGAGAGGATCTCTATTTGCCCTGAAGTTAAGGTTTGATAAAAATGCAGTACACTTGTCAGTGTATCCTTTAGCTCTTCCAGTGGTGGAGTCTTTGTGTGCTGGTCATTTGGATGCTCTTCAAACTTGGTTTTTGCTTCTTCTACTTCATTTTCTAAAGCTAAGTTGTATGCTCATTCCTTTTCTTTCCGATGCACTTTGTTTGGGTTTTGACCAGTATTTTTCTGCCGCTTAGCTGGAGACTGTTCGTCAATCATGTTCGAATATGTTTTTCTCTTTCCATTAACACTCTTCTTCTACTTCGTTTTCTTCAGCTAAGTTCTGTGCTCGTCCCTTTTCTTTTGTTTGGGTTTTGGGTAGTATTTTTCTGCCGCTTAGCTGGAGACTGTTAGTCAGTCATGTTCGAATCTGTTTTTCTCTTTCCATTAACACTTTTCTTATGTGACTTCTCTTTCTGATCTATTAGTTCAGGAACAGATTTGGCTTCCTGCTGTAACCTAAATAATTGCAGCTCTTCCAAGCGAGGTGTAACCTAAGAAAGGGAACAAAGACAAGCATCTTTACGCATTGAGTTAAAATAGCAAGGATTGCATACATTCAATAAATACTAAGCAGATGTATCATAATTCAGTGACATCTTTAACAATGCTACGTAACAACTTGACTTAAAAGCTTTAATTGACAATAAAGCATCCAACAACCATACTTAAAATTTAACACAATCTCATGCGCTGAGCATCCAGAATCACAACCATAAATATAACATAAATACAAATATAAATTTATAATCTAAATAAGAGCCTATTTGATATTAATTTTAAATAGTGTTTTATTTTCGAAAATAAGGACTATAAGGAATTTTATTAAAATAAGTTGAAATGTTTTCAAAACAATGCTTTTGCATATAATCCTAAAAATTAGTGTAAAATTAGAAAACAAGCAAAATATCATTTCTCAGTCTTTATATAGTTTTTAACTTCAAAAACAATTTTTGAATACAAACAATTTTTGAATACCAAATATATTTTCAAATATTTAAAATATTCAGATAAAACTTTTAAAATTTTTAATTGTAACTTAGTTTTTCAAAATTATTTTTGAATCACAAACCAAACTAGCACAAATCTCATAGAGAGATTTAAACACAAGACTATGTGGACCACCTTGCTACAATAATCTATTAAGTTATCACTTAAACTAAAAATTTAAACAGATAGGCAATGATCCACCAGTAGTATTTAAGCTCTGACAAGAGAGAAGCAAAGAGTTCATAATATGTACAGAGGCACATAAACACAACTCATTTACAAGCACATCATTTGAGGTCGTCAAAGACAACTGCTAACGTGGCACATTTTAGTCAAACACATATTGTTACTAGATAAGGTGGACATCGCAACTAGCTAAAATATCATTAGTTAAACACTTCAATTGTTTTTTAATAAATCTATACATACTAATTCTCAATAGCAATGCAAATGCATCATACACATTAGAATGAAAAAAGAAATACGTGATTAATTGGCACTTAAAAGAAATAAATTAAAACTGCAGCAGGAGTGTGTACCTTCTTTGCAGCATGGTAAAAATCTTCAAGTGTCCCATATTCCCTCTCACAACGCAACCAGTTGTGGTATATGTCCTGAATAACTCTGTTTTTTAGGAAAAGAATATATCAACAAATCCAAAAGGAAGTACATAACAATTGAAGAAAGTCACCCTGGAGTTGTGGACCCAAAACAATATTTTCAATATCATAAAATCAAGAAGCAAGAATTGTCAAAAACTTTAGATGATGTAGTGAGATCATCAATGAGATCATATAATATGAATGGGAGCGGGAGCAGGAGCAGAGAGTTGGGAAACAATCCGATTAAATATAGTAATGCCAATCAAGATAAGATGAAAATAACAAGGTTAACTTTATCAAACTAAACCCTAAATTGATCATAGAAAAGAGAGAACTTAGATGATTGTATGATAGGTCATATAAATTATTTACATCAATAAGTTTTATTTATCCTATAGCATCTTTTGACATGAAACTCAAAAAGTAAAGCTTGAATTAAGAAACTTTCCTTCAAACATATCGGAAAAAATAAGCCAAGTGGAAAAAGATGTCAGCCTATTGTGTTTCAAAAACTACTCTGCTACCTATGGTTTAAATGTGATTGCTTCATATATGCCACAATTTCATCAGAGTATTAGTAACTCTACAGTTTGAAGTTAAAAAAATAAATGTCATGGATTTTCACCTAGCATGATCCCCAGAGATACTGTCATATATCATTTACGTATGATTTGGAAAAATTATTCAAAATGACATGTTAAACCATTGTGATTATGGTGCCTGAGTAACAGGTTGACCCATTGCAAGGCTACTCTAAAAATATTCTCAGCTGTAGAGCATGATTCTATGTTAAGAGTTCAAAAGATCTGCATAAATTGCCATCCTTAATAAACAACATTTTAACAACCTTGACTTAAGCCATTTGTCTGGTTTCAACATCCATCAGCAACAAAAAGAGAATAAAGATAGAAATGTTTGCATTGCAGATGACAAATATCAATTGATTAAATAAAGTTGCATCGTATACTACTAAAAGAAACAATTTTCCAAAGAAAAAAAATGAGAAGGAAGGAGGAAAAAACAAGTTTAAAAACTTTCAAATTCAAATCCTATCCATAAATCAATCTAGAATAATTGAAAGCAAGTAACGTAAAAGAATTATACCTCTGAACTTGTCCCACTAAACCTTTGACTATAGTATCTCCTATAGATGGACCTAGCTTCATTGAAATCTCCCAATTCAATTTCCATAGCTATATAACCTTGCCAGGCTTCCAACATTAACCCGCTGCATAGACAAAAAGCAAGTTATACAGAAAAAAAATAAAAAGATGAATCATATATCAATCATATTGAACTATACAGGATAAGAAAGAGAAAAAGATGAATGGGCCAAACCAGGCTCTCCCAAAAGCCCTGAGCTGCAGCTTGACCTTTTCCCAAATTTAGCTCCATATAAGCCCAATAAGTGTGTAAATGCAGCAAACCATCTGTATTCTTCATCTGTTGAGGTAAGTAATCAGATGCCCGTTGAAAGGAAGAAACTTCACAGTTAAGTTATCAAGTATATATAATACATCCAATCATACAGGGCCTACAAATTCGATGGTACACTAAAGAGACATCAGGCTAATTGTTTATAAACACAAATATTTAAAACAACCATTATACAACAACAATGTACCAGTTGAATATGACATGCAAATTTTATAAATTCACAGATCCATAAAGATATCTTCCATGCATGCAACTCCAATGCTGAATGAGAAATTTTTTAGCAAAGGACACTATTCCATGAGAAAACAATTAACAAAGGTAACAATCTAGCAATTAGCAAAAGCCATCTTGGAGTATTGAGAGTTATGCACTGTAACTTTTACATAAAGTGGATATAATAGTACTATAACAGCACACTAAATGAAGTAAATTAAAAGACTTTTCTTCAGAGTCTAAGGGTAGAAGCACTTGATACACATTCGTAAGAGATCTATGCCTGGACCCTGAAAGAGTAGACTAGCTACAAGGTCCACATTTTCTTCATCTAAAATTCACCATGAATAGAGCATCTACAAATGTCTTTGAGAAGCTTCAAGTTCTTGACATCGAGTAAAAACAATTTTAACAAGGAAAAATGAACAGTATACATATGCGAACCTGAAACGTTTCCCTTATCAATGAAAAATTCAGTGCATCCTCTTCTGCTCTAGGCAAAAGGATTATTCGTCTCAAACCATCCACTTGAGTGAGGAATGAGTTTAGGTACTGAAACAAAGAGGATCCAATTAACAAAGATCTTTAATGCATAAAACGTAGATGAAACAATAACAAGTTACAAAGAGTAGTAAGTCAAGCCTGCAAATTAGAGAAAAGATATCTTTACCTCCTCAATGGTCGAAAAAGTGCATAGAAGGGACTTCTCAAAGACCTGAATATGATGTAAAAATCTTTTTAAACAAGAGTAAACCTCTATATTTGTAAAAGGAGCAGAATGAAATTCCAACACTAAAGTTTGTGAAACTTCATTGCTCTTAAGCTACTTATAACAATCTCTCATAATTCTCAACAGATGAAGGGTAACAACTGAAACTTACAGTAGATATCTCTTTCTCAGGTGCACGCCAACGTTCCAAAGCAAGCAAAGATCGAACCCAAAGATCACCAACCCAAGGACAATTTTTACTAGCCCTGGAATGAACATCCCGCACAATATTTCCTACCTGAAGGAAAAAGAGATGATTAATTGCTAAAATTACAAATACCTGGAACATAAAGAATTGAAAAGAGAAAATATGAGTGAAACCTTCAAGGTTTTATCCAAATAGCGAGTATAACCAAGCTAGAGATCACTTGATACAGGAAACTAGGTAATAGCACGTTCATAGAGAAGTTGAACACGGGCTGGATCTCCAGAAGACTGTTCAAACTTCAAGTAGATCTGCAAAAATTTCAAATTAAAATAATAGCATTAACACTTTAACGAAGGGGAAAAAAAACCAAAAAAGGCAACCTATTGCCACATTGCAAGTTCTTATACAACCCCCCACCCTCAGGAAAAGAAGAAGAAGAAGAGAAGATCTAAAGTTTACATAAACTGATTACTTATATTAGAAGCAAGAAAGACCATAAGAAATTGAAATTATAATGAAATTTCAACAGCAACTTTGTTGATAAACAACTTGACCTAAAAGCTTAAGCTTGAAAAGGTAAGGGCATAACAATGATATTCAGCTTTGTAACAGGCAACTTCACATGTTACATAAACCAAGCCGAAATTCAGACAAAAAGACCAACCCAAATATAGCTGTAAAACCTCTCCCTAGCCGGGTATTTCCTAAGTATCCCTTGGCCATTGAGAACCTAGAAAACGCACGCTTAGGAAAGAAGTTTATTTTAAAATCCTATTCAAAGAATAAACTTGTAGTTTAAAAACTTTTTTTTTTCTAAACGATAATAAGTTCATTGTACAAGTCAAATAATATAGTTTCCTTTCTTGGAGTAAATTATTAAATCCATCGTAATAATTACTAGAAACATACACACTTTTACAAATTTTACTAGCAATTTGATTTCCTTTATTAACACAAACATATTTACTCCATTATAGAACATGGACATATTTACTACATTATGAAATATGAGCACAATTACTACACTAAATATCATCATTAAAACATCCCTCATGCTCATAGCATCCCTCAGAATCCTCTCCCACCTTCATGCCTTAATCCTTACCTGCAAAACATTTTAAAACATTTCGTGGGGTGAGCGCTAAATGCTCAGTAAGGGAATATGGCCATTTATAAACTATTAAGGTTCATTATACAAGTATATTACTTAGGACTTTACCTACCTACAAGACATGACCTTCATTCATTGACATTAACAAGTTCATAAAACATGTCATACACTTTGGACTTTTCTCATAAACATAAGTCATAACTGATGCGTGTTTCCTACAACATGCAATATGTAGCAAGTATACTAATAGCACAAGTAATATAATAATGAGTGAGTATTGTTCCCACGAGGATTGTTAGCTAAGCACTAAGTTTCCTACTATTCTCAAGTTGAAACAATCGATTTCTTTTGGATTGATGGGAGCTATTTCTAATAAAAACTGAACAATGAATTCTAAACTGAAATTAACTATGAACGCAAGATGAAAAATGCGATAGCAATTAATTCAAGTAAAACGGGTAGGGTTTTGACTTCATTCGGATTTTATGGGTTAAACCTAAAAATTAAATTAAATTCATACTCATATGCATTGATTGTAAATCGAACTCTCCTAAGTGCTAAACATACCTTCTCAGGCTATGTTTCCCTACTCTTCCTTATCAACTTTCCGCACCCAACAATTTGAAAGTTAACAAATCTAAGCTCATTAAGCATAAGAATCCTACAATGATTTCATTGATTTTTGAATCTATCTCTAGCATTCAATACTACAATGGTGATTACCCAAGAAGCCTAACATGATTCATTTCTCAATCTCATCATGTTCATCATATATAAGCATTAGTGTTCAGAGCAAACACACAATCAAAGCATAATCATATGAAAATAAAACAATCAATCACTTAACCCATTAAAATCCGAACTACAATAAAAACCCTAACCCAGAATGGGTTAGTTCATGGCTAAATCAACAACACAAATGAAAGAAACGAAAATACTAAAGTTCAACATAATGAAAATAAAAGATAAGATAAGAAATCTCCCCAAAATGATGAATCCCCTGGTTCGAATTCGAATTCGAATCTTAACCCTTGTTCAACCTCCAAAATCCTCAAAATGAAAACTAAATAAATGTAAAAAGCTGCTCTAACCTATTCGAAGACACCCTTCCAAAAAGGCTAAGTGTTTCTTCTATACCTCGCCCAAATTCCCCAGAAAAACTCGCACAAAGTAAAACTGTGCGTTTTACAAAACTAGAATTTACGACCATCGCCATGACGAAGAAGAAATCTCGCCGCGACGAAGAGAGAAGCAGACATGTTTCGTGACTGGCGTACTTCGCCGTGGCGAAGCTTCTTGAAAAGTTCTGAAATTACAGAACTGCCACTCTGCTTGCATCTTCGCTTGATTCTTCGATCTTTGGTGCTCTCCTTTGGAAGCGAGCTTCATAGTGCTTTATTCTGCTTCAGAACTCTCCCAACTTCTGAGATCCGCTTACTTCTGAGTTTAGAATTTCCAATTTTGTCCTTATTTGCTCAAAATGTCCATTTTAACCTGAAACATGAAATGTAAAGATTTAAGCAACAATTCAAGTTAAAATGAACTAGAAAGTACCTGAAATCCGACTAAAAAGTCTAATGAAAACAGTATAATCCACGGATTATCAAATACCCCCAAACTAAACATATGCTCATCCCCGAGCATACGGTACAAAACTAAAGGAACCAAAAACAACAAACTACGAATAAAACACAAAACACACACACATTAAAACTGAAAAATGAACAAAAACCAACAAGACTCAAATTCAACAAACGAATTGCCTAGAATTTACACAAGTCTCAAAAGTTGTTGAAAAATTATTATCAGGAAATGTTCAACACTCCAAGAAGTTATAAGCTATATCGACTATCTTCCTCAATCAGTCCACCAAGTAGGTGATCCCCACTTCAATCCACATTCCAACTTCCCAGATTATTTTATGCAGAAATGTAAAGTTTATCAAATGGTGGCAGACTCCATAAGCCTAAATATCGAACTACTCTCCACTAATGAGGACTAGACAAAGATAAGAATCAAAAGGTCTTTAAAAGCTTGTAACGTTAGGCTCGGGTAGTGGGTTCCAAGAAAAAGGATAGGAATAACAAAGTACTCGGTTTTCCTAATGCAAAAACTGACATCAAATCAAACTCCACTTCTTCTTAACCACCAATTGAAAAGTCCACTAATTCGCAACCCCCCCTCAAACTTGTATTTTTCTTATTCCGGAAACCATAAATGCGGGGGAATTTCATTTAAGGTGTACGTGGCGTTGTTATACCAGAGGTTGCCAAATACTACCAGACAGTTTTTAAGGCGGGTTCTGGTTTCCAGCCGGTATACCCTTAAACTAGGCAGAATTTGTTTTTTTTTTTTTTTTTTTTTTACAATAAAAAACTAAAACAACAATTCAATTGAATTGAGGTGACCACCTCCTTTGTTTTTATTCCTCTTCTCCCAACCCCCAAACTATTCGTTTGGCTCATTCATATAACTCTTTCGTTTATATTAGGACCGAGTTCTCCTAAGGGTAGGATAAAGTGTTTAGGGTATAAGGATTAGACAATTTTGTTGTTTTCCAAGAAAAATAAAGCAATAAAATTCATGCAGCTCAAATGGGTGACTAGGGACAATTTCATTATGGGCTGGCTTGAAAGGCTCGAACGTTTCGAAAAATGCCTAAATCATCTTCTCAACCATGTCTAATCCTAGAATTTCGCCTCAAGCACTTCTCTACTAGGTTCTAGAGTCCACCAACATTATCAAACTTCACCTAACCACATAAAATGAATCTAAGTATGCCGAAATAAATGAAAATTGTGGCTGAACCACTCAACAAACCTAAATCAAAATCCAGTCAATAAACATAAACTTGAAGCACTGCTTAACATTTCTCAACAATAAAATTGCAACAACCCTATTCTCATCATTGATTTATACAATTCATCATCGGCAAAAACAATCAAATTAAAGAAATTTTTTTTTTTTTTTTTTTTTAGGTGTACGTGGCTTTGTTATACCAAAAGTTGCCAAGTACTGCTAGGCAGTTTTTAAGGCGGGTTCTGGTTTCCAGCCGATATACCCTTAAACTAGGCTTTATTTCTATTTCCTACCCCCAAACTAAATATAACATTGTCCCTAATGTTCCATTACGCATAATCAGGAATAGAAAATCAAAAATAACAAAGGTATGAGAAAGCTTCCTGGTTAATTCGTGAAGTGTCGCTCCACAATGCAGACCCGGTCTCAGACTTTTCATCACCCAGAATCTGTCAAAACAATTGAAACTGTGGTGTCCCTTGTGTTAGCAAAAATTCACAAACTAACTTGAAAATATTACAACCTAATCTCGTCTTTGCAACAACTACAAAATAAAAAGAAGACAACTAAACAACTACACAATCCAAAACCAAAAATACAGACTAAGTTTAATGTTTCAAATGAAAAACCAATTCAACTAAACAAATAAAACTAAAGAAAAACTAAACAGGTGCTTTGGTGCTCATTGGTCTCCGCCCTCATCTTCCTCTTCTGATTCGGAGCATATCCACTCATCTGAATCCCAGTCAGTCCATTGAAATCTTGAAGTGTCAACGTTGAGCTCGCTAAAGCTATCCTTCTGCATCTCATACATCATGTGGGTCTGCTCAACCAACCAATCCTGACGATTTGTCATCCATTTCATCATACCCATCATCTACTGCATCATCTCTTTCTGTGTAGCTGTGGAGCTAGAGGATGTGACAGGGCTTTGTGTGGTTCTCTGCCGTTTCGTTCCTGCCCTTGGTTGATCAGCTTCTGGATGTTCAAAATGCTTCTAGAAATAATCTTTATCGAAGATAGGGGCAGCATGAATACATTGCTCATTATCTCCTACCTTGGCTCCAGCTTTAATGCACAAAGCCGTGATGAGATGTGGGAAAGAATAACTTGATCGCCCTGGTTTGTCGGCATGTTGAATGTTGTTAAAGATAATTCTTCCCACATTGATACTCTTTCCTGTGGCAATGGAGTAAAGCAGTAATGCTTTTTCGTAAGTTACTACGCTATAGTGTGTTTCTGGCATCAACTTCGCACTAACAAAATACTGCCATACTCAAGCAACCGGAGTCAAAGAAGTTCCCTTAATGGTCTTCTTTTGTTTCTTTGACATTGACCAAGTTGCCTCCGATTTTGCAATGACATGAGGGATGATACTATCCTCAAACTGCATCCCTCTAAACCTTCCATACTCATCCTGATCA